AAGATCACACTACTTTTTGAAAATTTGGTTTCAGAGTTAGCATGTCAAGAAAATTTGGTAAGACATTTAAAATATGACGTGAAATTATAATTTTATTTACTTACTGGATTTATATTTGTATTTATTTATTAAAATTGTTTGCCATCCACCTCACCGTTAGGTGACTCTGGCTTACAATATTTAACAGAATAAAACTATACAGAAACATGCATATAATAATAAAATACTATAAAAATAAAAAAATACATCAGCTGTAACTAAAAGATGGGGGAAAGGAGTAGGATGAGCGGGAGAGTAGGTGGAGAAGTGGGCTCTGTGTTAATCTATCAACCATCTCCAGCCTGATACTCCCCTATTGGACCAAGCCAACCAACAAGCTCTTGCAAAAGGACAGGAAGGCAGGAGCCAATCTCACGGGAGGGGGTGTGTGGAACTGACCAGAATTCCCTGGCTGATGGGGCCTGCAGCATGTACCCTCTGCCAGCATGAGTGTGGCAGGCCAATCACATTGGGATGAGACAGTTCCTTAAGTAACCACCCATCTTCCTATTCAAAGCAACTCTGGTCTTCAATATAATACAATTATAAATATAAAAGCATTAATTAACAGCAATTACATAAAAATAAAAAGCCAATAGCATGAACAGTACAGGAATATACTTTTGTCTATTATTCCACAAATACCTCCAGTATAACATATCCCCCATTGTTTACCCAAGACAACTGGCAAGCAGATTTTAAGGTCCTTCTGAAAGATCAAAGGGTCTCACATCTGGTATTGGATCTCACTTCTGGCAGTAATATGTTCCAGAGTAAGATGTTCCAGAGTGCAGGGGGACATGATATAAAAGGCTCTTTCTCCAAGATCTTGCTAGTTGAAATTCCTCGATCGATGGGATCTGCAGCACACTCCTTCTGTTAGAGCAAGTGGGGTGGGCCAGTCCCATTGTATTTAGTTATGAATGACAAGCAAACTAGCTACAATTAAAAAAACAGTACAAAAAGCAGTCTCAAATACATTAAGGTCAATAAAACCATTGTACAATTAAAATGTATAAATATAAGGAAATAAAACACAATTCAAAGCAAAATAAGAAAAATAAAAACAAAATTAAAAGGATAAAAGGAAATTCTGGTGACATCATTCCAAGGTTAATGTCTATGGAGATTTTCAGTCATCCAGCTCATGATTGTCCCAAAGGTGCTTTTTCAAGAGGCAACTGGACTTTCTGGGTTTTTTAAAAAGACATTTAGCTTCTCATTCACTTCACACCTGCATGGCACAACAGAACAAACCCATCAGGACTAGATTCAGCAGTCCACCTGTATTTAAAAGAAAAAGGCCACTCTTTCGAAGACCATATTTTAGATTGTGGTTTGAAAGAGTCCATCTATGTCAAAATTGACCAGCCCTCTCTCAACAGAGGGGGAGGTATATGACATCATCTATCTCCAGTCTACAATACAATCCTTTCAATGGTTCCAAGAAGGTTTCAGACTCATTTGCACAACACAAGTGACCCTCATGACACAGATAAATCTTCAAGTGACTTTAACGACTCACCCAAAAATGCAAATGACCAGCTGTGTGCAAGGAGTATAAATCCTTCTATTCCCCACCATCCAGTCAGAACTAAAGAAGCATCTTGGATGAGAAGCGAAACATCTCCAAAGAAAAACCACGAAGTCCAATTTCCTCTTGAAATAGTACATTTGGGACATTCCACAGTTAAGACACCTCTGAACATTCTTACAGCAATAGCTGTTTATAAAAACTTGGCAACTCTGTGATAACAGTTCCATCAGAGTATAACAATATAAGCTACTTTTCCCTCGCTGAAAATATGATCTGTATTAAAGAGTGGCACTTATTGTAGCTCATAAATTCTTACAGAAAAGTCAGCGATGAAATATATGCACCAGAATCTCCGGTTCATTTTGATTACAGGGGCAATTTGTCTCATTAAACAGATTTTATGAAATCTTCCGTTCAGTATTGTTGAGGGTAGAACACTAAAGCAAGCCTAAGAAATGTAAGCACTATGGATTGCTAAGCATGCCAGACTGAATAGTTTGCTGGTCTAAAATGTTTGCAGGGAGGAACCCTATCCTATAAATTAATTATACTTTGGTGAAGGAGGAGGAGGAGGGTGTGTGGTACATGTTTGCCATCTTGAGTCATTTATTTAGCGAATGGGGATGTACAGAAAGCATATGTTAAAGAAAATAGATATCAGCAGCCAATGGGACCTAGAAGCAACCACCAAGGCAATTCCAGGTCGAGAGATATTAGTTGGTGATGTCATCATTGCCCAAAGGGCACTCAATGGGGCCTCCCCTCTTTTGTCCCCGCATGGGTTCCAATGGAAGTGGTAGCTATTTATCTACTCACATTTTATAAGTTTTCAAACTGCTTAGATGGGCAGAAGCTGAAACAAGTGGCGGGAGCTCGCCCCAACACGCTGTACCCGAGCCTCAAACCTCGACTTGCCAATCATCAAGCCTCAGTTCTAATCACAGACCCACCATGCCCCTTTGCTGCCTTCAGCTATTTGTAAAAATAATATAGGTGGGATAGAAATAAGATAAATAATAAACCCCAGCTTTTGCTTTTTTTAGATTTAAAGGTAGTAATGAGTCACAGCAACAAAGAGGTTAGAGAGACAGAGGTCAGTTGAGATTTTTACCCTGCAAAGCCACCAAAAGGAATTAGCAGTGTCAATGGACATCAGAAAATGTAAATGTGAGTCAATAAGAGTTGAGGGTATAAAGACTCTTTCTATTGATGAGATCATTCCCATGACATGCAAATTAAAAGATTATAAACCATCCAGAATTATCCTGTAGTAAGATGGGAGACCAATATATTTTACAAAAAAAATTTTTTTTTCATATAGCAGCTTTAGTCATTAAGCATGTGATAAAATGAACTGCAGCTCACAAAAGCTGATGCCTTTTAATAAATTCTGTTACTTGGAAAAAGTGCTTTCAAAATGTCCTGATTATTTGCACATGATTCTCCTACAGAGAACATAAATTTCTGTGTGCAGCAGGGGGCAGTGATCTTCCTGATCCCAAGAAAACTATGAAAGCTGTACCTGCATGGAGAGACAACAGGGAAATAGCAGGGTGGTAGAATTTAAAAGAATAAAATGGAATATACCTGCTAAGTCACCAAGATTAAATTTTATGATGCCAGGAAATAACAAGGCTTTTAAGTTACTTTGGACAGATCTATTCTCACTTGAGGTTATGTGTTTATTTCTCCCTCACTATTCTCTCCAGCAACCGTTCACTTGGGGGCTAATCACACAAGGCTTAAATTAAAGATGAAGTTTAAAAACTAGTGCTCACTTTTATGTCTTCCTATTCCTACATTTGTTGAAAGCAATCAATCAATCAATCAATCAATCAATCAATCAATCAATAAATAGGGGGTGGGTTGTCCCAAAGAGTGCTAGACTCTTTTTTTCTTTAAAGGTGTTTCACTTCTAATCTAAGAAGCTTCTTCAGCTGACTGGATGGTGAGAATTTATATTCCTCAATAACTCTTTAAAAGGATGCAAATGACCAGCTGCCTGCAAGGAATATAAATTTTTCCATTTCCTATTGTCCTGCCATCTCTGTCCTGAGATGAAGAAGCTTCTTGGATGAGAAGCAAAATGTCTTCAAAGAAAAACCAGAAAGTCCACTTGCCTCTTGAAAAACACCTTTGGGACAACCATGACCTGGATGACTGAGAATCACTACAGACATTTAGGGGACGGGTTATAAAACACCTGGAGTTTTGAAATAACAACTGTCAGTTTTGGACTTCAGGGAGAGTTTTTACATAAATTTCCAAACGTCCATGGACTTGGGCTTGTGAAAAAGCAGGCTTTCCAACACCATATTTGATTCTATATCACAGTATCTTGTCAAATGTTGTAATATTTGAAAGATAAATCTCAGCAGGGACCTTTGGGGTGGGGGGGAAGTTTGTAGAAAGCCCAAAGAACCAACCATGAAATTGGAGTCATGATTATGCTGCAAAGTTGCAACCCCCTCCTCAGGTCTCTGAGCCCAGCAGTTTTCGATAAGGTACATCCTGTGGTCCTTTACATCAGGGGTCTCCAACCTTGGCCACTTTAAGTCTGGAGGACTTCAACTCCCAGAATTCCCCAGCCAGCTGGCTTAAAGTGGCCACGGTTGGGGACCCCTGCTTTATATGACCTGGATAGCCTCAGTCGCAGAAGCTCACTGGGTGACCCGATGTCCGCGTCCATTCTTAGATCACCTCAAGGGGGGCTTTTGTCGGGGAAACCCGAAGGCAGGCGAATGTTGAGTTCCTGAAGGAAAAGCGAAATATCGTAAATCTAGGAAGCGAAGCAGCATTTAACCGGACTATTGTTTCCCTCCGTAGAGAAATCGAGTTGTTTTTTTTAAAAAAAACCTATTCTGAAAAGCCTTCTCTCAAAAGAAAGGAAAGAGAGAGCGGGAGTCGACCTCTCTCTCTCCCTCCCTCCCTCCCTCCCTCTCTCTCTCTCTCTCTCTCTCTGACCGGAAGGCAGAGCGCTCTCACCTGAGACTCACCTGAGACGGTGAAACCCCACCGCACAGGTCAAAGTCTGGCTGCGCCTGCGCAATCCAACCCCTCCGTTACGCCGGAGGAAGCAGCAATTTATTCATTTATGCGAAGGAACGGTGGCGGCGTGATTATTTGGCCCTTCTCGTGCCCCATACACGGGGCGAAACCAACTCTCCCCGCAGCCTGGGAGGGAAGGAGAACTGAAAAAAAACGATGAAAAGGAGTCAGGTTATTATTGGTGCCAGTCGCGGCGCGCTGTCTGACAGGGCGACTTGACATGCTGAGATAAAGTATGTGGGAGGGAAACAAGCAGCTTCGGTGGGCGTCAAAAATAATGGGTTGAAATGGTTGCGCCCGCTCTGCCCCACAACCCCCCCTGCCCGCTCTGAGCCAATGGGAGCCCAGTGGGCGGGGCTCAACGGGCAGCCGTGGCGGCTGGGTAATGGCAACCCTGTGAGGAGGGTCTGGGAGATCAATCTGCGCGCGAGATACACAAGGTGCGGCGAGGGCGTGGGAACGCGACGCTGACCCAGGCCTCCGCTTGTTGCCAGGTAACAGCGAAAGGGAAGAGGCTACGGGGGTGTATGTATGTGTGTGATGGTGGGGGGAACGCTCTTCCTTCTCCAATTCCACCCCCCCCCCGGCGAGATCTCCTTTCATCGCTCCCCGGAGGATCCGGTGCCTCCCTGCCTCCCTCTTTAATTTCCCGCTGACCTCCGTCTTCATTGCACTGACACCCCCCTGTCCTCACGGCAGCCTCCCCGTCCGCATCCCTTAGCCGATCGCCGCCGTGCTTCTCTCCTTTTCCCGCTGTCGGTATTCGATGTGAGTATGCGAGCCACACGCGTGCCCGTGTCTGGAAGGGGGTGCCGCGAAACCCCTTTTCAAGCGGATCGGCCGGCATCCGTGCCTGCTGAGTCCCGTGAAATCAGCAGGACGTTTAAAAGGCTGCCGGGTGTAGATGCTGGGAACGGGCACCGAGCAGGCCCTGACCCCGCAGGGCATCCGCCAGGTCCGCGTGTGTCCAGTGGACGAGGGCAGAAAATACATACAGGGTCGCCCCGTCCACACAGACATAGCAGTGTTTTCGTTTCTGTCCATAATCAGGTGTTTGAGGGGTGTGGGTTGAAAAAGAAGATTTCGCAATCCTGAAAGCAAACCGGCAGATCCAGTGTTTTGTTTTTTAAAACCGTGTTATTTCCTTTAATCTCGTTGATAAGATATAAGGTAAATTGCCTTCAAACTCCGGGGTGTCCCAACTTCTGCCGATTTATTTATTTATTTTATTTATTTTTATGTATGTGTGTATTTATTTATTTATTTATTTATTTATTTATTTATTTATTTATTTATATAGTCAAGCCTTAATTAGAGAACAGATATAAGTATAAACATGAATATGAATACATGACATGAATACGAATACAAGGGAAATTAGAACAGGGACGGTTGATTTTGCTTATTTTGTATTGTTTTTGTTTTGCTTGTCTATTTAGAATAAAGGATGCGAAAATGATGATTAAATGCTGGCCGGATCTTAAAAAAATTAGAGAGTTATATTTAAATGGTACATCTCATAAGACATTCCACACACCACCTCCCCAATAGCATTTTTTCTCCACTAGAAAAATGTTTTTCTATCAACCAGACAGAGGATATTTACTTTGCTTTTGCAATGGGGGGAGGGGGTAGGATAACAGGAGATTGTGCTCTAGTTTAGAATTTGTGGTATAAAAGGGCAGCCAGATTATAAAGCACATGGGAAAGTAATTTGCTGTCAAAACCATGATGAATATAAATGTTATATCACTTGTACTTATTCTCGTAATGTAATATTTTTATAAAAAGGGCTTAAGATGTGCTTATGCACCATTACTCTCAATTACAAGTCACTGGCCATGTCAAAAATGATTCACCAATTTGGCCTTTTTTGTCTTGTTTCAATTGGCCATAAGAAAAGTTAATTTAGGGGCTCCCCGAGTAGTCTATTTGCTTTAATTAAACCTTTATAATAGCCAACCTGCTCTGCAGATTTCATTGTATAATAGAAATAAACAATTTTTCTTGATACTATGTTATTTTTATACTTCCTTTCACCTAAAAGGTTTTGCTGGAAATTGATCTATTCGAGTTTCATCCAAAATATTCTACCCTGATTTAGGATTTGTAATTCAGGTGGCAGAAGTAATGATCATATAATATAAGGATAAATCACCAATAATTGCAACTTTTTAGGAGCAGTGAGTGGTAGAGTTCAGTAGGAAAGTTCAGAGGAAGTACCAGCCTTTCTAGCAATGTAGGATGTTTTTGACATAAATATTTTAACAAAAAAAAATAAGATTGATATCTCAAAAATATATAATCCTATTTGCAGCAGATATAATTAATAATTTGTTTTTTTTTTCCAGATTCATTTACTTCCCCACAATGTCCTTGAAACCACGAGTAGTTGATTTTGATGAAACATGGAACAAGCTTCTCACAACTATTAAAGCTGTTGTTATGCTGGATTATGTTGAAAGAGCAACATGGAATGATCGCTTCTCGTATCCTTTTATTAGAGGACAGATATTGATTACACAGGATTAAATGATGTACAGAAATTGATTTCTTTACAGAATTCAGAGCTGGATAAAATACATTCAGCATGAACTCTAGCACCAATAGGTTTTATAACATAGTGTCTATTAAGAATTATGTATGGTATACACAATAGTTTAAATAAAGTCTAATAATTTGCTAAGAATGGTAAGTATGTCTAAACTATAAAGAGTATGTTTAGTACGTGATTCTGTCCAATCTGTTCTAAATAGAAAATGTAATTTCTAATTAGGAAAGTATGGTTCTAATCAAACCCACCAGTTGTTCTGGCTGTTTTTGCTAACCTCATTTGAACTACTATTAAGCTTTATTATGGTCCCACCAAAAAGCACAAAACAGATTTTCATTCGGAATTATTTTGAAGAAAGACTAGCTAGAACTAGAGAATCATGTGCTCTTGAGCATGGATGGCAAATCTTTTCTGCACCGTGCTGAAAAGGGAGTGAGCGTGTGCGTGGCACTGAGTGCCAAAAAGGGAGAACTTCGCGAAGTGCACATGCACTTGTCTGGGCCATGATCAGGAAGAAGAGTTTTCCAGGGGGCACATGCATGTTGAAAAATTTACTTCTGGGTTACAGCATGCACATGTGTGCCGGTTGCAAGTCTTCCAGTTACTGCCATGCATGCACATGCGCCGAACATCTAGCCAGCACACATGCTAACACTGGAAAATGGAAGACCAGCTCTTCTGGTTTCCACATGCACAAAGGCCAGCTGATCTTCGTGTGCACATGCATGCCAGAAACCTGGAAGAGGAACGGTTGACGCTGTACATGCCAAGCAACATGGCTTCCCGTGCCACTTCAGGCTCGCATGCCATAGGTTTGTCATCACGGCTCTAGAGGAAATGATAGATGCTTGTCTTCCATCCCACAAGCAATTTTGGATCTTGTAAACTTCTGTTTCAAGGGCAGTATATTAGTAAATGACCTATTATTTGTGCTTGACCTAATGAGTTGTGCTGAGTTGGATATAATCTATCTGCAGTTCATAGATAAGCTTTGTTATTATATGAGGATGTCCATGACAGGGAGATTAAAGTTGTTTGTGAAACAGAAAAAAAACAGCTAGGAAGTGAAAGTTCAGAAAATCTTTTTCAGGGACTATGCATCAGTAGCCATAGATCCAGTCAGACTACTGAACTGCAATTTATATGCCATCCTTTATTTTCTTTAGAAGTAGGATGTTATATAATTCTAACCATTCCAGTTTGTAAACCACTGCTTAAGCTTAGCATATTTTGTGTTGCAGGATGCTGTGTTTTATTGATTTCAGGTAGCATGGCTAACTATAATGTGACAAGCTAGCAATTGTTTTATGTTAGTATCAACTTTTTAAGTGTATTCCCAAATGACATCTATGAATTTTTACTTTTGAAGTATTCTCCTGTCTTCAGCTTTTTCTCTAGATTACTATTAACTTAATTCATTTATGTCTTTTAACTATGGTTTGGGAAAGCAAGCAAATGCTCTCAAATGTTTTGATGCATAATTAATATATTTGTAAAAGAAGGTAGAAAAAAATTTCAATCATGCTTAGTAGATTTAGATGTAACATATACTGTATATCTAGGGGAAAAATACCTTGTATCCTACTTGAAAATATAGGTTGTTTTACTCTTTTAATCGAAAGCTGTTTAGTTGTACCATAGATTTTAATCCCTCTTTTAATTAAGAAATGCTCCTTATGGAACTGAAAGCAAGATTAAGCATGCTTCGGACATTGTGTGTCTAGTATAGTCTCTAGTCTTTTGAAAAAAAGCAATGGAAGGCCATATAGCACTTTTATTTAAAGCAGTAACTCACTTTTTCTTACCTTTTGACCTTCACATCTCCTCTGTTCGAACCTCTTTAGAAGTGAGATATTTCTGGCCCTGCTATGTTTGTGCCACCCTCCCAGCAGATGTATGACAACTTAAATCTGTTTCTAGAAATAACTGAATGTTTTATGACTTCATTTTATAAAATGATAACCCTTTTTTAATATATTTGGTCCAGGTTACCTTCAGAATGTTGTTCTTTTTTTCTTCATATTAAGGAGCTGTTTTAAATTTCAGTTCTGCTCTCTCATTTATTTATTTATTACCAAATAAATAAGATAGTTTCTTTTTGTTCTGGCACTTGTGACTTTCTGCCTCTGGCTTAATTCAATCACTTTTCACAAAATCTTGCTATTTATTTGTCAATACTAGGGTTACAATACTGGGGTTATAGTTGAAAAAAACTACAAGTAGTCCTCGACTTATGACCACAGTTGAGCACAAAATTTATGTTGCTAAGTGAGAAATTTGTTAAGTGAGTTCTGCCCCATTTTATGACTTCTCTTGTCACATCCGTTAACTGAATCACTGCATTGTTAAATTGGTAACGTTGTTAAGTGAACCCAGCTTCCCCATTGACTCTGTTTGTCAGAGGGTCGCAAAAGGTGATCATGTAGTGACCCTGGGACACTACAACCGTCATAAATGTGAGTCAGTTGTCAAGCATCCAAATATAAATCACGTGGGGATGCTGTAATAGTCATAAGTGTGAAAAATGGTCACAAGTCACTTTTGTCAGTGCCTGTGTAACTTTGTCACTAAATGAACGGTGTAACTTTGCCACTAAATGAACTGTTATATGTCAAGGACTACCTGAATACAGACCCTTAAACCCTGCCCTTTGGATAAAAGTCTAACCTTCATTTGAACATTGCAATAAATAACATCATCAGTCTTGGTAATTGTTTCATTGTCAACTTACTGTGTTAGGAAGTTTTTCCTATCTTTTAGTTAGAAAGTCTTTTTTCTTACTGATTTGTTATGGTTTTTAAAATTTTACCTTTATTACTTTATGAGTAAACTCAAGGCAGTGAACATACTTAATACGCCTTCCTTCTCCTATTTTCCCATAACAACCACCCTATGAGATGAGTTGGGTTGAGAGAGTGACTTGCCCACTGTTTCATGCCTATGGTGGAATTAGACCTCAAGGTTTCTAGCCTGAGCCTTTAACCACTAGGTCAAGTTGGCGCCTGTAGTTTCAAGTCTGTGGTCTGCAACAAGGGAAAACATTTCATGACCTTTCAAGTGTTTAAAAAAAGTGTTATATTTTTCCTCAGTTATATTTTTTCCAAGGCTATTCCAAATTCTTTGACGAAATTGGACGCTGTTTTTATGAACTAAGACCATGGTGATCTATAAACTGCGAATGGGGGTGATTTTCAACTTAGCCCAGAAACAAAACTTTTTTTTGTGACATACAATTCCTTCTATATTATATTTTTACAGAAATGCTAAGTAAGCCCTTTAAGAAATTGGCACAGGAAAGATAAAATTTGAGCATTAGGATCAGGCTTTCTAGCCCCAAGGAAGGCAACTATGCCAACACACTTGTTGAAATACTACAGCCAGGTTTGATGGGTTAGTGAGTAACAGGCTTATGTTCTAGAATTGAACAAATCATCTGGTCTTTAGAAAACAGTGATTTGAAAGATAGTTTCCTTCTCATAGATTAAGCCCAAAGGGCTTTTACCCAATATCCTTTGAATATGTGGATGCTTTGCACTTAATCCCTTGCAGTGCTGTAATTTGGAGAATGTTCTCTCTCCCATCCCAAAGTATTCTCTACACTTTCTGAGAGGCAGGGATCACAGAATCCCCCCCACCCCCCCCACCCCCCCACCCCCACCCCCGGTAGCCTGAAAAACTTTGAAAATCTTGGCTTTTCAAGCAGCTGGAAAAGGACAATGAATCAATCTCTTTGGAACTCCAATAAGGCATTGGTTTTCTTTTTCCTTTCTGTCAATATTTCATTAGAATTTGAGTTGGAAAAACAAAATATTTTAGCCTTGACTTAATACCCAGGGACATATACGCTCTGTGTGTGGCCTATCCCGAACCTCTTGGAGAGAGACTTTATATGGAAACTAAATTTTTTTTGGAAAATCATGTACGCCATTTGCACAAGGTAACTGGAATGGATAAAAATAAAATGTTAATGCTGCATGTCAGAATTAAGTAATGTGCAATCTATTTTATAGTCTGCTGGAAGAAAACAGCCACTTGGGTTTTTGTTTTGTTTTTTACTTTTATTTTCTGAAACAAGATATAAAGGTGTTAATATAGTATCTCTCAAATGTTTGAAATAGTTCATAGAATTGAATTTATTATGTAGGGAGTTGCTTTTTAACATTTCAAATAAAATAGAGCATGTATAATAAAATTAATCTATTTCCTCTGGGTTTTTTTCCCCATAGAAAGTCTTGGACTCTGAAGAAAAAATATTGGTAATGTATCATAGAAACTGGGATGAATACAGTAAAGGGGCAGATTATATGGACTGTTTATACAGGTAAATGCATCTTAAACTTATTCTGGAGTTTGGAAATGTGATTACTTTTAATTGAGTTATGGTTTTGATCCAGTGGTGGGGTTCCTATCGGTTCGGCCTGCCATGCCCCCAAACCGGTTCTCTTGTTTTTTGCTTCTGCGCAAGCGCAGAACAATTTTTATTGCATTGCGCGTGCAGCGCACATCAAGCACACATGCACAGCACACCCACGAGTAAACCAGCAGTAGTGTCTGCCGGAACCCACCCCTGTTTTGATCCATTGTTTTGATGTTTGCTGTGAACATGCTTACTAAATTTTCATGGGGAAAATCTTGCAAGTGTACAAAGTGGAAAGTTTTGAGGCATGGCTAATCACATAATATCCAAAAGACAATTTATTGCATTCAGGCCACATGTTTTCCACTTCCACTATTATACTGATAAAACAAAATAGGACCCCAAATCTGTTGGAAACTTTTTTTTTTGTCTGATATCTAGTGTGTGTTTGTTGGAAGGTGGAAAATGGAACAGGAATTTTAGAGAGATGTCTGTCTCTACAGGAATTTTAGAGCACAATTGTCTAAAATTGCAGTGATGTTTGCTTGTACAGTGCTTTTAGAAGAATGATTGCTGTTTACTTCTAATAGATAACATGACCTTAGCTCAGTGTTTCTCAATCTTGGCAACTTTAAGATATGAAGACCAATTCCCAGAATTCCCCAGTTAGCTATCTTAAAGTTGCCAAGGTTGAAAGACACTGCTTTAGCTTAACAAATTATGAAGGGTCCTTGATGCTTTCTGAGCTTGGTTGTTTTCTTGGTAGACGTTTCATTACACAAACTAGGTAACATGATCAGTGCCAAGGTTGCCATCAGTTTGGGCAATGAAACGTCTGCAAGAAAACAACCAAATTCAAAGAACACCAAGGGTCTTTTATTTGAACCCTGAGCTACAATTATTCTCCTTTATTGGTTAACAAATTATACTTTTCAGCGGAAGAGGATGTGTGTAACTCACATGAAACTCCACAAACTTACACATTTTCTTAATGTTTTTATTGTCTCTTTTCCTCCCTCTCTCATTCACACAAGAGATTCTTATTATAGATTTTTTTTATGCTCACGCCAGTCATCAGGTTCCATACATTTACTCTCAGGCTTGTTTTTAATCTAGAGAAGTAAAAGGGGGAAAATGCTTTTCTAAATAGTTTGGAATTCCCACACCTTTGTCAAGCTATCTTTTGTCAACTATCAAGTCATAGTTACCTTGTGCATCCTTATAAAACTGTAACCTGCTCTATCCTTACTAATGCTTCAACATTTTCTACCAGCCACTCCACTCTGTAGAACTATTTAAAAAAAAACATATTTTTTTTAAAATTTGGAGGAAATGTGAATCTTGGTACAGCTATCTTTAGGACTGAGCCTCTCTCATGCTGATTGGAAGGAAGTCTTATAGGAAGTTCTCTTAAAAAAACTGCTCTTCTTCCAAGCAATCATGATCTCGTTCAGCTTTCAGCTCATGCTGCAACCTGAGTTACAGGTTCCTCCTCCTGCTATACACTTCCTAACCGGTAGTGGTTTGGCGGCCTGTGTCACTATAGCTGGCAGCAACCCAGGCCTACCACAGATTCATCATCTTACACACATACATATTCCTTCGGTCCAAAAATGTTTTTAAAAACTGCTGTGCATTTCCTGTTATTTTCTCTTCCATAGAACAGTTTTATAAAATATCTTACGAGAATTTATTTTTTCATAGATACCTCAATACACAGTTTATTAAAAAGAACAAATTGACTGAAGCTGATCTTCAATATGGTTACGGAGGTGTGGATATGAGTGAACCATTGATGGAGATTGGAGAAGTAAGTAATATGGAAAAGAATTTTGGAGAAGTAACTGTAAAGTACATATTTTCTGACTGCCTAATCATCCATTAAAATAATTTCTGCCTTTCAAAATCATGTAGCTTATTTTGTTCAGAGCATAAAACAAAGCTTGCTTTCATTATTTTCCTGAATAAAATAAACATTTGCAGCTATTATTGCCTTTTGATTAGCCTTTGATTTACTTGATAGAAATTGAAATTTATGTAGTTAGAAGGAAAGGCAGATATGGGCTGCAAGGTTCTGACAAAAGAAATACCAAGTATAATTAATGGTTGTGATATACTCACTGCTTATTTATTTAAGGTGGCTTCTTTAATTAGAAGTAGATAAGAACAGAGCTAGTTGAGACCTTTTCAGGACCCTATGTGACAAAAAGTTAATCGTTTACCACAGTATTTCTCAACCACAGCAATATTAAACTGTGCACTTCAACTCTCAGAATTCCCCACCTATCATGGCATTCTGGGAGTTGAAAACCACACATATGCCAAGGTTGAGAAATACTGCTTTAAAGGTAGGTGTGCTTTAAGCCTATCTTATATCTTTGCTTATATTGATAAAGGAAACAGTAAGATCTGTTTACCTACAGTATCTATATCACATTTCTGTCTACCACCAGCAAATAGTAAATGGTTCTCCCACCTCCCCCTGTCCCCCTCCCCCCTTCCCAATGAAATAAAAAGTCAAATGGAATTAGTTGAAGAATAAAGTCAGGAATAATTCATGGGTAAAAAGTGATAGGTAGGATTTCATTGCAATCAGTTAGATTAAATCAAGATTAAGTTACACTGATTTCTGAGAGCCCCAAACCAGTTAAAGTTGTTGTATTTGTTGATAGCTGTTCATAGTATGTCAGAGAGAGACAATAAGGGATGCAAACCTGGCCTTTGAAATAGGGAGGGAATGATCAAGTTGTTAAGGAGAGACCTCAGAAAAAAATCATTAGTCTTGGGAAAGTGGAAAGCGGAATACAAAACTTAAAAAATTACGCTGACTTTATTTTTGTTTGCCATAAAACAGGACATACAGAAACACTAACAGACTTTCAAGATCTTTTATTCTATTATAATAAAGAACATTTGTAGAGTCCCTGCCATACCTGCTTACTGATTCGTTTTTAATTTTTTGGTTGAAAGTAAAAGGGCTACTTAATTATTGTACAACATTAATAATCTTGTCCTTGAACTCTTTTTAAAATCCTGTATTTTAAACAAAATATTTACCTTATGCAGCAAATTTTCCTAAATTTATTTTCCAGAATTTGGGGTCATTCAAAAAGTTCCTCTTAATTGTGCTTAAAAGTTAGGTGTATGCCCAATCTCCCCCACCCCCCAAGAAGGTATGAATGGGACCAAAATAGTATTTCAAAACCATGTGCAACATAGTATATTTCCTTTTATCAAGGAATTGAAACTCCTGTTTTACATATGTAACCTATAGTCTATGCAAGTAATGTATATCAATAATGTAAGCATATCCACGTAAGCAGTTTTGAATTCAGTACACGTACTGTAGTCCTTGACGTACCACCACAATTGAGCCAAAAATTTATGTTGCTAAGTGAGAAATTTGTTAATAGAAATAGCACTTAGGCTGATATACCGCTTCATAGTGCTTTAGGCTGATATACCACTTCATAGTGCTTTACAGCCTTCTCTAAGCGGTTATCAGAGTCAGCCTATTGCCCACAACTATCTGCGTCCTCATTTTACCCACTTCGGAAGGATGGAAGGCTGAGTCAACTTTGAGCCTGGTGAGATTCGATCTGCCAAACTGCTGGCAACTGGTGAGAAGCAGAAGTAGTCTGTAGTACTGCATTCTAGCCACTGAGCCACCACGGCTCAGAAGTGAGTCCCCATTTTACGTCTTTTCTTGCCATATTTGTTAAGTGAATCACTGGTAGTTGTTAGCATTAGTAAAATGATTGTTTAGTGAATCTGGCTTCCCCATTGACTTTGCTTGTCAGAAAGTCACAAAAGATTATCACATGGCTCCGGGACGCTGCAAACGTGAACCCATTATCAAGCATGTGACTGGTAAACCATGTGACCATGGTGATGCTGCAATGGTCATAAATGTGAAAAATGGCCATAAGTCACTTTTTTCAGTGCTACTGTAACTTCAACAAGTCACTAAGTGAACTGTTGTAAGTCAAGGACCACTTATATCTGCTAAACTGTACTTAATTTGTTTAGGCACAACATATTTTATGCCAGGTTTTCCAAGAGGAGATAAATAATTCCTTAATTCCAAAAATCTACTTATTCCGGCATATGGAGAGTGATTTGTTGGAAAAAGAAAAACTGGTATGGTACAACAAAAACACAAGGAAACATCCCTCTATCAGTTATTTTTCAAGTGACAGGAAGCTAATAAGGTTTTTTATTTGGTAGATATTCAGTTGCTGGAAATTTCCTTCATAAGAAGGAAGAATTGTTGCACTTTATTTAGCTATTTGGTATCTTTTCAGTGTATCCCTCTGCTTTTGAAGCATTTGAGACTGAGCATTAAAAAAAAGGAATAAACGAAATGGCAGTTCTATCATTGACTTTGTGTTTTTTTTTATCGTACAGCTGGCCCTTGATATGTGGAAGAGATTAATGATTGAGCCCCTGCAGGCTGTCCTCATTCGAATGTTGCTTCGTGAAATTAAAAAGTGAGTGCTTTTTTTTTTTAAAAAAAGCCCAAAATGTATTACGTAGAATAACTTGTTTGAATGCATATTGCTACACCATGAAAATCATATTTTATGCACACTGCATGTGAGATACCAGACTATTGGTATATTTCAAAAGTAATAATCACAGCCATCTTTTCACTACAAGTATTTAGCAGTCTGCTTAAATAAAGCCAGTGATTTCTGCTATAAAATCAAAAAATGTGTTCTCCTAGTGAATAAAAGCTATGGGAGTATTACAACCATTCCCACTCCACTAATTATTGTTGGAACCTTGAGGTCCACCTTTTTTGTAACTCTAGCATAGAACATTTAAATAATTCCATTACTAAATGGCTCTTGTGATTTTAAAATTATTTTAAATTGGGCATTACAAAGTATTGTATAAATGTTTTTTTTTAAAAAGACTGACCCGAGATTAGATTCCTTTCTGAAATTCTGAATGTGTTACAGAACTGATCAGCAGTACAAGCTTCAGCTACTTCTGTCAGTCAGCTTTGTTTCAGGGTAAGGCTTTGAGTGTCAGCAATATAAAAACCTTACATATTCTATAGCTTATTAGCAATTTTATAGAAAAGTCAAGTCTAGACCATCTGATAATTGATTTATTGTAGTTATATACCATTGAATTCAACAAAAATTACTCCTGCTGGTTTATAACATGCTATGTTTGACTGTATGCTGTCATTAATTTGTAATCTGTTGTAATATAGAGTTTGTTGATAAAACACAATATTCTTAAGTTTTATTATTATTTTATTTTAGGATGTTAATATGTTTATTTATGGTCTGAGTAACACCCAGTATTATGTATAACTCAATTCCGTACAAAAGAGTAATGAGCCCAAGAATTCTTAGTATCAAATCTCAAGCAGATGTCAGATTTTTTTAATGTCTACTTATTCAAATATGTATGTGCACTTTTTGTGGAAAATAATTTAGGTATTTTGAGGAAGGAGAGGCTATCTATCATCTTTCCTCTTCCCCTCTCTTATCTCTCTGTGTCTGTCCATCCATCCACCTACCTTCCTACTTATCCATCTTCTCCTGTCTCAAAAGGAGGTGTGTGTGTGTGTATGTGTATATGTTTGTGTATGTATTCAAATGTAATTTCAAATTGAAAGATCAATTTGAAATAATTGAAGTTGAACTAATAAGAAAAGGATTATATATGTATTCTTCCTTTTATATAGGACACATACACAAACATATTTACATATATATTTACATATATACATACAGTATATGCATACATACATACATACATACGTGTGTGTGTGTGTGTGTGTGTGTATCCTGTATTTTTTGCTCCATAAGACATACCTGACCATATGATGTATCTAGGTTTAGAGGACCACATATCAGGCTGAGCCTGAGAGGACCACAGATAGGTGTTCTCGCGTGTGCCAGTTCTGCCTATTGACGCTTGCACTGCGGAAAAGAAACAGAAGAGACAGGCAATGACAGACAGAAGAGGTGGGATTGAGCACTGTAAAAGGACCCCGCCACCGTGGCCTGGCTGCTATTCACCAGACATTTCCACTCACTTTGGGGGGGGGGGGAATGCATCTTATGAAAAATATGTTTGTGTATGTGTGTGTATAAAGGAAACTTCAACACAACTGCTTCTAAATCTTCAAAAATGTTGATTTGTAGAATATTCAGGTTCGCAGCAAGTTCAGGACTTAATACTACAATAAGTTATCAGAATTAAGTTACCTAGCATTACAACTTGGGTGAATTTAGATGATTTCATGTGGGGAAATGTCATGTAGTATTAATATTTGGAGCCAAATATTCATTGGCACATTATTCAGCTTTAACTTCAGCATCACTGACTTGGGAAACCCTGAAAGGAGATAGAAAGGAAGTAAAATTGGTCATGGCCCCACAGTGTTAAACTTTGGATGGGTTGAATATGATCAATTCATGACTAGAGAATTATTTGCATACAAATATCAGTATATCAAAAGCTGGTGTTTAGTCAGTGCTGCGATAGATAGAATGAATGAAATAAGGAATAATTGTAGAAAGAGTAAATTTGCAGTAAGTTTTTGAGTAAGAAAAAAATATTGAAGGCAAAAGGAGAAGGGGACAACAGAAGGTGAGATGATTAGATGTTGTCATTGATGCAGTAGGCATGAGTTTGGGTAAACTTCGGAAACAGTGTAGTACAGGGGAGCTGGGGGGGCTGGCATGCTATGGTCCATGAAGAATCAGACATGACTTAGCAACCGAACAACAACAAAGAACTAAGAAAAGAACTCATATAAGAATATGATTTTTAAATTGGTGTTTGAATCGTCACTTTGAAATAATTGAAGTTGAATTAGCTGAAATAGTCTTGAACTTTATCTGCTAGCATATTGGTGTGGAAGCCCAAAGAAAGTTCATGTCTAGATCATAAATCCTTGGCAAATTTGTTTGTTTGTTTGTTTATTGCCCTTTGGGAATCAGCTGAGATTTTCTCCCCTCTCAGACCTCTAGGTGTGAGAAAAAGTCAACATGTTATCTATTTATTATTACAATGTCATACCTTATTTTCACTCCGTTATATCTAGAACATGTCTGCTGAGGTTGCAATCTTGATTCCAGATTTTAATCTGCTTGGTGTAAAGAACAATATAATTATAGTGTGAGATATTGTTGTTAAATATCAAGGTTATTCTTTCCTTCCTGCATATGCTTAACGGGAATATTTGGCAGCTGAAATAGCTTTTCTATTGAATCTTTATTTGCTGTCATGCCTCTTTGTTGCCTCAAATAGTAGTGGTTGTAACTATTTTAATTCCAACCTGGAGCCTACACTATTTGACACAAAGGTGAAAACTTGAAAAGTATTGATAGATCTTTCTCTTCTTTCTTAGGGTATTTTTTCTTCTTCTCCAAAAATCTTTTCAAATAGGAAAAACTCAGGATGTAACCCAGTATCATTGCTAAACATCCTCTATTCCAATAGTTTATTTAATAAGAAAATGATTCCTTATCCTTGGCTAAGAAGGACTTGCAGAAGCTAAACTGTTACTGAACTGCAGATGAATTAAAGAAAAAATAATTTTCCATTTTTACTACCTTGGCCAAATCCTAGGTATAAGTGAAACATGAGTTCATCTCCTGATTTTAGGTTTATCTGAGATTCTAAGGTTTGCCTTGATAGATCACTTTTGACATAAATACATGAAACAATTCTCCATTTTTGAATATGAACCACTTAGCACTATTTTGTAACTACTATAATATGTCGTGAAGAATTTGGGCAAGATCCTCCATCCTCAAAATAAGTTCCAATTTTCTCAGGGTCTTTTATACAAACATACTGATATTTTTGAAAATTGTATTCCAGAGTGTAATATACTTCAGTATTGAAAAGAAGCTGTTATCTCTGTGAACAACGGTTTTACCATTGTATAGTTAGAGATTAGACCACTGTTTATTAATCTCAAAGTCTTTGAGATGTGTTGATATAAAATTCCAGAATTCCCCAGCCAGCAGGTTGGGAATTCAGGAAGTTGGTGTCTACACATTTCAAGGTTGCTGAAGCTAGGAACACTGGTTTTTTTTTTATATA